GCGGAGGCGGCCGTCGGCGCTGTTGGTGGTCACTCTGGGCATCACAGGTGCCCTCTGGGCGTCCAGCACCAAGACGATGCATTTGAGATGTTGAGTGTGAGGTTTCAGCCACACCTGCACAGTCATTGGTACCTGGGTGTGGCCGGGTCAGAAGACGGACGGAGTGGCATCACCAGGGCAGGTCCTCCGTGACCAGCCTGGCACGTGCCTTTTGTAGCAGCGAAGAGGCCCACTGCCGGGGTTCAAATCCCGGCCTCTCTACTCATTCGCTTTTTGACTTTGGTCAAACTATAGATCTCTCTGTGCCCCAATATCTCCTTTAAAAAAAATGTCTTTATTGCTTTTAGAGAGAGCGGAAGGGAGAGAGAGACACATCAATGAGAGAGAAACATGCATCGGCTGCCTCCTGCACGCCCCCTGCTGGGGATCGAGCCCACAACCCAGGCATGTGCCCTGACTGGGAATCACACCCACAGTCCTCAGCAGAGAGAGCGGGGAACTGTGTGCGCGCCTGTGTGTGCATGTGTGTGTGTCTCTGTACACAGACGTCTATTTCTCTGTCTATACAAACATCTGATAAGAGCCACGAGTCCCCGTCGGTGCTTAGGTTCCATCTCGGCACCGTGGGGTTGTCCCAGCCGCCCCCTTCCCAGAGCCTCCGCCCCCCGTCCGACGGGAGACACCTGGCGGCGTCCGGGCTTACACATGGCTCAGTCGGCACCTCCGTCACCTCCTCCAACCCAGCGTCTCCTGCGTCCCGGCGCTCAGGCCACCTCAGGGGAAGGGCAGGGAAAGGAAAAGAAGGGAAGGAAACCAAGAAACGCTTTTGAAAAGAGAGGGAAGGAACGATGCTGAAGCAAGCGGAACCGGCAGTGTCCGGGCTCGGCGACGGCCCGCAGCCTGGATCCGCCGTCAGTCGGAAGCCTGTGTTTGCCCCGCGGAAGCCTGTGGCTTTCTCTCTTCACGTTACACGTGTGTTCATTCTTCTAATGCTTGACGAGCCTTCTCCCAAGAATGAGAAGCGGTGCCTCGTGGTCACGTTCAGGAGTTAACAGGTCGCTGGAGACCGGATGAGGAAGGAAGCACAAGGCATGTTGAGGTGCCCCCGTATTTCACACCACGTTTCGATGTGTGTGAGAGTCAGAGAGGAGCCTTCCATGAGGCCCTGAAGGCAGTAGAACGTTGCTAATGAGACTCACACGGGCGATGTCGTCAACTTCTCCTACGTGGTCTCTGACCTACGGCACGAAAACACAGCTGCCGAAGTAGACAACCGTTTTCAGCCTGACACCCCCCCCCCCATTTGTTTTATAAAATAAGCATGGCAGATGGAATCAGGTGGTCACGCCATCCCTCCAGCTGAGCAGGGGGCACATGTGACAGCCGGCCTGGCTTCCCCGCCCCTTCCCCCGCGAGGCCCAGGGCCAGGTTAGGGGTGTGGACGTGTGAGTCCCCAGGCCACACGTCGCTGCTGTGAAACCCGGGGCCGCCGGCTGTCCTGCCGTGAGGATGATCACTGCTCCTCCTCAGTGATCTCGGGCCTGAGCTCCGTGTCGTGTCCTTCCCTCCAGGTACCAGCTGAACCTCTTCGCCAGGATGTGTCTGGACCGCCAGTACCTGGCCATCAACGAGATCTCCGGCCAGCTGGACGTGGACCTCATTCTGCGCTGCATGTCGGACGAGAACCTGCCCTACGACCTACGGGCCTCCTTCTGCCGCCTCATGCTCCACATGCACGTGGACCGAGACCCGCAGGAGCAGGTCACGCCCGTGAAGTACGCCCGCCTCTGGTCCGAGATCCCATCGGAGATCGCCATTGACGAGTGAGTGGCCTCTCTGCCTTGTCCCCGCCCCTCTGTGCCTTGTCCCCGCCCCTCTGCTCCTAGTCCCCTCCCTGGAGGGCAAAGACGATTTCTTCAAGAATGTAAGAGGTGGCACGATTCCATTTTTATACCCTGCTCATCTCTCTTATTCAACAAATAACTGTGTCCACTGGCCGCAGTAGGAGTCTATCAGTGGAACCAGGACCCTGCCTGCCCGCTAGTGGGGAAAGAGAAAGGACTGAGATGGAGTCTGGTGACAGGGGCTACGGGGAATAAAGCGGGAAAGGATGGGGGTATGGGGGCACTCAGTGGCGGGCGGCCTCCCTGGGCGGAGCTGAAACCCTCTCTCTCCCCCCCCTCCAGCTATGACAGCAACGGGGCCTCCAAAGATGAGATTAAGGAGCGGTTCGCGCAGACCATGGAGTTTGTGGAGGAGTACCTCCGAGACGTGGTGTGCCAGAGGTTCCCTTTCTCGGATAAGGAGAAGAACAAGCTGACGTTCGAGGTAACTGCTCCTCCTCGGCCGTCTCTCTGTGGCGGGGAGAGGAGATGTTTCAGATTTTCACCGCGATACTCGGGTTTTGTCATGAAAAGGGTTCGGCTCAGTTTGGTTCCCGAATAAGGTGGGTTCCAGCCCCTGGCGGCCGGTGGCCTTGCTCCCAGCAGAAACGCGCAGGCGACCTGAAGCGTGCGGGGGATGGGAGACCTGAGGACTCCGTACATCACCCTGTCTATATATATAAAAGCCTAATATGCAAAGTGGCCCCTCGGGAGTGCAACCGACCGGGAGTTTGATCGCTCGCTGTGATGTGCGCTGACCACCAGAGGGCGGCGCGGAACAAAGGAAGGCCCCAGCCGGCAGCTGCTAGGGACCCTACCTGTGCACTAATTTGTGCACTGGGCCTCTAGTTAAAGATGACAAGACAGAGCATCGTGCTGGGTCTGTCGCAGGGACTCCTCCCAGGACATAACCCGTGTCCCCGTGGGGTCAGCGTGCTTCTCTGTGAGACGCGTGGCCTTTTGAGGAGTTGTGTCTGCGAGGTTACAGGGCTGCAGTCCGTGTCCTCGTCGCGTGAGACTCGCTCGCCCGGGGTTGTCTTGGGGGATCTGCACAGACCAACCGATGAGGTCCACTTTCACGAACTAGTTCTCAAAGCAGAGCAGGGAGTTTGTGGAGGAGTACCTCCGAGACGTGGTGTGCCAGAGGTTCCCTTTCTCGGATAAGGAGAAGAACAAGCTGACGTTCGAGGTAACGCGCCTGCTCCTCCTCGCCATCTCTCTGTGGGGGGGAGAGGAGATGTTTCAGATTTTCACCACGATACTCGGGTTTTGTCATGAAAAGGGTTTGGCTCAGTTTGGTTCCCGAATAAGGTGGGTGCCAGCCCCTGGCGGCCGGTGGCCTTGCTTCCAGGAGAAATGCGCAGGTGACCTGAAGCGTGCAGGGATGGGAGATCTGAGGACTCTATACATCACCCTAGCTATATATATAAAAGCCTAATATGCAAAGTGGCCCCTCGGGAGTTCAACCGACCGGGAGTTTGATCGCTTGCTGTGATGTGCGCTGACCACCAGAGGGCGGCGCGGAACAAAGGAAGGCCCCAGCCGGCAGCTGCTAGGGACCCTACCTGTGCACTAATTTTGTGCACTGGGCCTCTAGTTAAAGATGACAAGACAGAGCATCGTGCTGGGCCTGTCGCAGGGACTCCTCCCAGGACATAACCCGTGTCCCCGTGGGGTCAGCGTGCTTCTCTGTGAGACGCGTGGCCTTTTGAGGAGTTGTGTCTGCGAGGTTACAGGGCTGCAGTCCGTGTCCTCGTCGCGTGAGACTCGCTCGCCCGGGGTTGTCTTGGGGGATCTGCACAGACCAACCGATGAGGTCCACTTTCACGAACTAGTTCTCAAAGCAGAGCAGTCGCTTGGCAGGTTTTCGTTTCTTATATCTTCTTCCTAATGAAACAAAATGAAATTTGATCAGAATTGTAAGCCAGACGAATGTCTCAGCATAAGGAAGGCGGGCCTCGGGCGTTGACGAGCTGGTCAGTGTAAAGTGGACCCGAAGTACGCAGTGTGTTTAATGCCACCTTCCTCTCTCTCTCTCTCTCTGAATACGACAGGTTGTGAACTTAGCGAGGAATCTCATCTACTTTGGTTTCTACAACTTCTCTGACCTCCTGCGATTGACCAAAATCCTCCTGGCCATCCTGGACTGCGTGCACGTGACCACCATCTTCCCCATCAGCAAGATGGCGAAGGGAGAAGAGAACAAAGGTGGGGGCGGGGCGGGGCCCTGAGCAGGAGTGGCCGCCCGGCTCCAGGCAGCCTTCACCCTGGTGTCCTCTCCTTTCTTTTTTAAAAAATATTTTTTAATATATTTTTATTGATTTCAGAGAGGAAGGGAAAGGGAGCGAGAGAGAGAGGAACATCAATGATGAGAGAGAATCATGGACTGGCTGCCTCCTGCACGCCCCACACTGGGGATCGAGCCCACAACCTGGGCACGTGCTCTGACCGGGGATTGAACTGTGACCTGCTGTGCATGGGTTGATGCTCAACCACTGAGCCACGCCAGCCAGGCCTGTTCTGTCCTTTCTTTTCGACTTTTCACTGCGAACATTTCAAATATAAAGAGAGAATAGTGCTTTAGACACCCAGAGACCCACAGCTCACAGTCAGAGATGACTCACATTTTTATGTATTTCCTTTATATTATATATGAGTCCTGTGTGTCCTGCTGAGCCACTTGGAGGGAGGTAGCCAGTAGAATGCGGCGGGTGGATTAGTACACAGAATGCTCCTGTGGGGCTTTCAGACCACCTGTGTCCCTGCTCCCGGAAGCCCCTGGCGTTTGATGGGCGTTCACCTTCACAGGTCCCCAGGGTCCTGAGAATGTACCGGAACAGAGACGTGTTAAACAGCGTGTCTAAGGGAGCTTGTGGCCCGTGCCAGGCCCCTCGGAGCGCTCTGTAGGGGCGTTGCCACGACCAACGTCTGTCCCAGCCCCTCTGGGCAGTCATGTGATGCGGTCCAACCCGGGGCCGGGGAGCTGAGGACCCAGGATGGGGTCGTGACCCAGGTCTGTCTGGCCCCTCCAGGCAGCAACGTGATGCGGTCCATCCACGGGGTCGGGGAGCTGATGACCCAGGTGGTGCTGCGAGGAGGGGGCTTCTTGCCCGTGACCCCCATGGCCGCCGCCCCCGAAGGCAACGTGAAGCAGGCGGAGCCAGAGAAGGAGGACATCATGGTGATGGACACCAAGCTGAAGATCATCGAGATCCTGCAGGTAGCCCTCCGCCCGAGGCGCAGGGCGTGCGTGGG